CCAAAGAAGCTGACAGGATGCTTTCAGAAAATGGCCCTGCCAGGTGCCTCCAGAGTGAGGCACAGTGTGCAAGCCCGACCATCGGTGCAGAGGCTCCTTGACAAATGAGCAGGCAGGCAAACATCACCTGGCCACCCGAAGAAGGATGTTAGGAAAAGCAAAACCCCCACACAAACAGAAAGCAGCATGAAGGAAACAGTGACTTCAGGGAAAAGAAAGCTTTAAAACTCGCTCAAGTCCTCAGAGAAGATGCCAGATCCATGAAACAAAAATCAGGAGATTGCAAAATAGGAATGGAGAGAACAAGAGAAAGCTGTTTCAAAGGAAACAGATTGAGAGATATAAAGTTGAGAATGTCTCCCAGAAAGGAAATGGCACACCTAAGAAAATCAGGGTCACTCCAGAAGCTCTAAGACAGGGGTGTCAGACTCATGTTCACCGGGGGCCACATCTGCCTTGCGGTGGCCTTCAAAGGGCCGAATGTAATGTTAGGACTGTGTAAATGTAAGTGCTCCTTAACCAGGGCCAAGGAGCTCAGTGCTGCCGCGGGGTAGAAACAAGGTGCCAGGCCGGATAAAACAAGGCGGAGGGCGGGACTGGGGCCACGGGCCTTGTGTTTGCCTCCTGTGCTCGAAGAGCTTCATTCTAGAAATAGAAAGTGAATGGGAAAAAATCAAAGCAATAAATCAGAAAAAAATGCCCAGCTTTGAAGAATGAGTTCTCAAATCACCTCAAGTGTGGGCAAGACAGTAGATAAAAACAAATTCCAAGGGACATCAGTACACTGAGTATTTCCAATTTTACAGAAGGAAAATCCTTGAAGCTACAAAGAAGAAGACAGTCACACAGAAAGGCTTCAGCACTAACACCAGGAGGTGGGGGACAGAGAAGCACAAAGGTGCCTCCGCTCCCATTCAGTGACAAGGGGAGTAAAGAACTTCCACGCATGCAGGTTCTTAAAACTTTCCCTCCTGTACATCTTTTCCTAGACAACACCTTGAGGAACTGCTCCATCAAAATGAGAGGGGGAAACATCAAGAAAGAAGAAAAACATGGTTCCAGGAAAGTGGAAACCCAACACAAAAGGGGTGGTGAGAGCTTCAGGGAGATTCCAGCAGGTCGGAGGCCTGGGACAGATTTACTCACAATGAGATTAATACATGGAATTTCACTGGATAAAAAGGACTAAATTTCTTGAAAAGATTTAGACAAATTGGTGAATCCGGTGTCGAGTTTTAGTGACAAATACACAAACAAGACTCAGAAGAACTTCATGGAAAACAACAACTTAGCCAGGAAAGGAACAGTGATCCATGACAACACTGTGTAGTCAATATAAAGGCTAAATACTGAACTAACCAATTAAAACTGTACCTGCTCTGGGCAGCCATGTATGTGTCTGCACAGCAAAGGCAGAGAGTAAAAGAAAACTCACTTCACATCTGCTGAGTCAAGTGAAGAGAATGTGTGATGCGGGAGGGAAGAGCAACAATGAGCAAGCGAAGCGTATGTATGCTACTTAGAGGTGACAGCAAAAACCAGAGGGATCAGCTAAGAGCTGATGTGGGTGCTCCGCAGGGCAAGACATGTAACTGGGGGGAAGGAATTCAGAGTTTCTCTTTACAAGCCTTTTAAGATTATTTGACCTCTTAAAAATAACAGGAAGATACATACTTGATCTGAAATAAAACTAATTTTAAAATTCATATGAATGCCAATAAAAAGTAGTAAGGGAGAGTATACACAGTCAATGCATTGTTACCAAGTCAACAGCAAGCATCGAGATGACTAACTGCGCGACGTCTGGAATGTGTATGGCTCCTCTCTACCGCCTCCCAGGAACTTTGGTGGGACTTAAAATAGCAGCGTACTAGGGCTGTCACTTCCAAAATGTCTCTGATTGGAGAAAAAGAATTTCGCTTAGCCCAAAACAACTTATATAATAAATTTTTAAAGTGTGTACACATGAGAAGTTTAATTCTTCTCTTGCTTTTGAATGTTGAATGCTGTGGTGTTTCTATAATTTAAAGGAAAGGGCACTGTGACACACTGATGTTCTCAGCTGCTGTCTACTCGGTCAAAAACTGTTACAACATGCATCTTGGATTTTTGCTGCCTAACTCAGCAGCTGAGAACTCAGCTGTATACTGTTTCTTCCAGGAGCTTGGTTATTCACAGAAAAGGGAAAAGCCTTCCTATGTATCGTCACTGGCCCTGTGCAAGGGATGCGTGCTGAAGGGGTGATATCAAACACAGGGTGGGGCAAAAGTATGCTTCCAGTTGTTTGTATGGAAAATAATACAACAATAAATAAGTAATAATACAAGAATAAACCTCATGCTTCAAGAATTCACAACTGCAAACCTACTTCTTCCCCACCCTGTAAAACTGCTCCTCAGTACTTCAAACAGTGTGTTCTCTGCTCAAGCCCTTTTGGTAAGGGACTACATTTCAGGTCACGGAAGCATTAATGGAGAATCTATCTGATTCACTTGAGACTAAAGGTCACAAGTCACCCTGGCAGGCGGTGTGATCACCTGAAACCCTATAGGTCTTACGAAAGAGCACCATGTCCTTCCCCACCGGCTCTCAGCAAGTCCATCACCCTCTGAGGGGTCGAAATGCACCAAGTTCTCCAGTTCCTGACAAGACACATCCAAGTTTCAGCGGCCACACAGCCCCTTTGCATCAGCTGGTCTTCCTGCCTGGGACTCCCCATCCTCCCAACTCCACCTGGAAAAGCTTACTCATCCTCTAAATCCCAGTTCAAGAAACACGTTCTACCCTTGCCTGGTGTAGCTCAGTGGATTGAGCGTGGGCCTGTGAACCAAAGGGTTGCTGGTTCTATTCCTAGTCAGGGCACAAACCTGGATTGCTAGCCAGGTTCCCAGCAGGGGTGCGCAAGAGGCAATCACACATTGATGTCTCTCTCCCTCTCTCCTTCCCTTCCCCCCTAAAAAACAAAATAAAAAAGATTAAAAAAAAAGAGAGTGCTTTGTGAAGACTTTCCGACAGGTAATGCTGCCTCTTCTTTCCTCTGTCCACATGCGGCCCTGTCTTCACTACTGCACTTGGACCACCGTAAACTAGTTATTCTTTTACCAGTGAACCCTCCAGAGCAGACCACAAACTGCTCAAGGGGGGAAAGTCTACATCCTCTTCATCTTTGCACCCCCAGACTCCTCAACAGTGTATGGCACACAGCAGTTCACAACAAACGTTCCTGCATTTGAACTGTTGAAGAAATGAGTTACGAGGCTGGAGTAAGACCATCGAAAGCCCCAAACAGCAAAATTAAAGAAAAAAACACTTCAAGAAGTGTTTTTTCCAGATGAAACTCTCCAATCTGGCAGCTGAGAAGTCAGCTTGGCCCGCGGAGAGGGCACTGCAACAGGGCTCCCAGGGGGCCCAGAGGCGCTGCGCAGTGCGGCCCAATGATCTCAGGAATGTTCTCATGTTCCCCGCACATGTTCCCAGGTGGTGTTCACTTGATCAGAGAGGACGTGAGCCCTCAAACAGTGCATGGTACACAGCTGAACTAACGACAGCTACAGGGAAGTTCCGTCCTCGATGTAAGTTACTTAACAGGCTTTCAAATGTTCTTCCTCAAGGTCTGAGGGGATATGCTCCGTTTTCTCCAACCCTAAAACTTAGGAAAGGTTGCTGTTTCAGACCGAGAGAACTGGAAGTCACAGGACAAAAGCCGCTGTAAACCAAATACCTTCTCAACCAAACACTGCTTCCAAACATCCTAACATTAATCGTAGTTAATGAGTTTACTGTGGGGGTTTGTGGAGTGTTCAAAATGACCAACTATAAACCTCCATGTTATATAATTCCAGGTTTGCTCCCACACATGTCCGTCAATCAGCTGCCTCAGACGAATCCTGACTGTTAACTCCCTTTCTTAATAGGGCTCAAGAAAGTTACCTGCCACGAACCTGAGTGTTCTTAAGCCGACCCAAACTCAGGTGAAGTCACTGCCAGAGGGCTGAGGACGGCCAGGAGATGGTGGGCCCAGAACAAAACCCAAAGCAGAAGGGCCAGCCATCCTTCATACTGATGTCTCATTGACCAGCAGCGTTGTTTAATAAATAGCACATGGGTCGATTTTTCCGTTGGTTTTACGAAGTATTCGAACTCCATGCAAAGTCTGGCCCTCTCGTTTCTAAGGCGCGTCAGAGAGAATATATGGCAGCTGGCCCAGAGCACCTAACCACTTTCCAAAAACCACCCTCCGTATCCCCTAGTGTCAGAAACAGCTTCAGGTTCCCAACAAACACGATGCCATAGCCCGTCAAAGACTCGAGATTGTGTTCACTTCCAATCGGGAGTGAGCTACAAAGGTTTCCTGTGCGCGGGCGTGTGCGCCCAGCCTTGAGGAGAGTGTCCGACGGCTGCCGGGCCCGCAGGCCGGTGGGCGGGAGAAAGGACACCCCGGGCGGGGCAGAGGGCAGCGCAGGTCCCACCCGGGCCGGCCCGGCACGTCGCCCTCCGGTCCCCGAGCCGCGCAGCCGCAGTGGGCCAGGGGGGGGTGCCCCCTCTAGATCTCACCTCGCGACTCAGACCACAAGAGAGCGAGGGACCGCACCGCCCTACCCCCGAGCGCAGGCCCCAGCCCCGGGCGCACGAAGGCCACGTCTCCGGGGACGGGCGCCAGTCTCTGTGGTCTGAGAACAGGCCCTCCGACCCACGTGTCCTGCGGCAGCCAATCGACGCGAGGGCCACGACCATCGAGGCGGCGGCAGGGGGCTAGAGCCGCCCCGCTGGTCGCCTTGCCGCCCCCTTCCCGGCCCCGCTCCAGAGTTGCCAGCTCGGTGCTGCCGCCCTCTCCTGCAGGGAACAGTCAGAGGCAAAGGCGCTTCTCCTTGCCGTCGTTCTGCACTCTTACCGCCACCTGCCTTCCCTTGACCTCCTCTCTTCTCAGAAGTCACTTAGCTTATTCTAAAGAATTTCCCTTCAACTCACTCTAGTCACCCACAGACGAAGAATAGCATTACCTGTTCCAGTCTTATCAGCGTAAGGAAATCAGGCTCACAAGGTGGGAAATGTGGCGAAACAGGGACAAGCCGCCATCTTGGTAAAGGAGAAGAGGCTCCGCTTGACCTCTCCCCCACCCCCAGTATCTATATGGCTAACCGCCGTGGGAGGGGCACAGCGCCTGCGCAGAGGCGGAAATCGGGGGGATGAACCTACGCCTGCGCACTCAGAAGCCGACTTATGGGGGAAGGGGAGGAAAGGGTAGGTCGCACGAAGACTAGAAAAACGTTAGCGAAGGGGCGGGGTGACGTGATGACGCAAGAGCCTGCGCGCGAGGCGTGGCGAGAGCGGACGGCGGGCGCTGGGTGGGTCTGTGGCGGGGTCGATTGGCAGCGGTTCTGCGTCTTCTCTGTGGTGAGTATTTCGCCGTGGGTCTCCGCTGCTGTCGCCGCCGGGGTGCGACCTATGGGCCTACACAGAAGGGGCCGGGGGGCCCGCACAGGTCGACGATTAGCCGTTACCGGGAGGCGCGCGGACGGGGGTGATCGCGCGGTGTGGGGGAGGGGCGTCCGGCCGAGGGTCCTTGTTCCTCCGTACCTTTCCCGTTCTCCCGGGTTCTCCTCTGCTGTCTTCTGCTCTTCTCCGTACCCTCCTCGGCGCTCCTCGGCCCCCGCTCCCCGGGAACCCTGGCATGGGCGGAAGCGACGGGGTGTGTCCCGGGAGAACCCTAGTGACCCCCTGCTCGCCCTGTGGGATAATTCCGTGGAGCAGGCCCAGTGACTGGCCTGGGCTGCCGCCTGTGCAGGTGGTGGTCGTGGTGCGGGAGGGAGAGTGCAGGTTGTGGCCTGTCGGGCCCTTTCGTGGTGCGGCCATCCTTTTGTTACCCTGACGTGGACCGTCCTATCTGGCCAGCGCCCAGCAGAGACTAGGTAGGCCTCGAGAAGTTTTTGTCGCCTCGTTAATTTTCCAGGCAGTCCCTGGCCGCAGGTACAAAGCGGGGCAGAGGAGGAAGCCCACCTGCGGCCACCGCTGCTTTCCGGGAAGCCCCGACTCTGACGTGGTCCACAGCGCCCACGCGACCGTGCCACAATTTACCTTTCCGCTTCATTTTTTACTACTGCCATCCTCACCTTGCCTGCCCCCCCAGACACGTGACCCAAGCACACCGGATTGGTTCAGACTGCCGTGGTCTTTTCACCTTTGGTCTTGGCCCAAACCCTTTCTTTTGTCTGGAACTCAGTTACCTCCCGTTTCCCCTGCCTTTTGCTTGCCTAGTTCCAGGTCTGCTATTCAGGACCTGGCCCGGGTTAGCTTTCCTTGGGCTGGAGCAGGAGTTGACCTGATGTCAGCCTTTGTCTTGCCTTGTGGCATTGTCCACTAGGCCCCCAGTCCTGGGGGGGGGGGCCTGGGATGTGTGGGTTTAGCCACCCTTGCTCATTGCTGAGCACAGGGACCCCGCCTCCGCCAAACATAGTAGGTTCTCAAGTATTTCTTGAATGATTGAAATCGTCATAATAACCTCAAGATAAATTCAGTGTTCCAAAGCAACATTGGGATTTGTTCCAAATTCAATGTTACCACCGTGAGGCCGGATACACGTAATGGGGGAAGGCTTAATGAAAGCTGCTTCCTGGTGTTTGTGGCTTAGGGTTCTTGGTTTCTGCTTTTGCTAGTTCGGACGCAGGTTTTCTTTGCAGCACCCAGCATACTAACTTGTGGTGTATGCTGCTCTGTTGAATCTTGGCCCTGACCTTGGCTATAAAGGATATCCTGATACTCTTTTCCATTTGCCACCTTAGTCTCTCACCCAGCACAGCAGCCTAGGGTAAAGAACAAGGGCTTTTCAACCAAATCTGTAGTTCAGATTTGGTGACATGAGGAAGTGATGGGGAGGGGCCCCCCTTTATGGTGTATAAATCTGATTGAGGTCCCTTTTTATATCCAACTCCAAAGACAAACTGCTGAAGAAAGGTTGTTATTTTCCCAGAGAGAGGAGACATCAAAACTCATTTGGGAGCAGAATGGGGTTGAAGCCATTTATTTATACAGTCCTTACTCATCCACCTTGGGCTAATGGTCATACACATCACTACATAAAATGCATTGGATTGTCAAGCCTCAACTCCATTGAGGCTGTTGTGTGGTGTGCTGTGTAGGTACCGTCTTCAAATCCAGAGATTCTGGAACGCCCGAACATCCAAGGGCTATGGATAAGACCCTGCGTGGCAGGGTCATCTTGTGGACTTGGATGATGTATGTAAATAAAAGAGTAACTTGCTGAATGAATAGTAGTTAGGGGTAGTCCACTAATATAAGTGCCACCAGCAAAATACGTTTTTATTGCCAAGGGTCTAGTTTTATCCATCTTCCTTTCATCTTTTGTTTTGGAAAAGTTGGCTTCTATGTGAATTGGGATGGGAGTATTGCTTTGCGGAAGAAGGAAGCTATGGGTCAAGGAGAAAAGCATTTTAAACAAGTTCTAGCATCTACAGTGAGCTCAATCTGAAAGAATAGAATTTTCATTTGACCACATTTCTGAGGTTTGGGGAATCCCATTGTTCGGTACCAAGTTTTAGATTAAACACTGTGCTTGGCATTCTGCATTGCTGGATCAAGGCTTTCTGACCGAAAACCAGGTGCTTCAGTCAATGGAGCAAAGAAGAAGCAATTAAGAATTTTAAAACTAGGTGACTGCCGTGAAGGAAATTTAAGCAAACTTAAATTTTTTTTTTAATTGGAGAGAGAGAAATGTCAACTTGTTACACTTACTTATGCATTCTTGGTTGAACCCACAACCTTGGCAGGGTCTGGATGACCCCCAAGCCAACTAAGCTATCTGGCCTAGGCCTAAAAGATTTTTACAGTATTGCAGATGATTATAAATCATGGTCTGTTAACTAAAATGGGTTGGAGAGGGGGAGAGGATAAAAATAACTCCCAGTTTGAACATTCCAGGATAACCCTTGAATCTAGGGTAAGGCAAAACCACAGGCTATCCAGAAAACAATGGAAAGAAGACAAAAGTGAGATCTGTGACACAGCAAAAGCTTCATAGACTCAGATGAGAATTTGGGTTTTACACCTTTTCATTGAAAACACATTTCACTGGAAATAAATTTGTTTCTGACAGTATTGAGAAATGCACAAAATTATAGAAGAGTGGATAAATCCAGAAGCTGGTTCTTTGAAACAAATTCCCCAGCTGTTGTATTAAGAATAACGGCAAATGTGTATAGGGGAAAAGGTGTGAGCACAAACATGGGACATGATCAGGATGGCCACTCCCCCCTGAAAATCTCAGGGAACCAAGTAGTGGAAACCGAACTAGAACAGATGTCACTGAGCAGCCCCCGAATGATCTGCCAATGAAAAAGGACCAAGACTGGACATATTAGAGCTGAATACTATTCAACCTGGAACAGGTAACACCAGTGTCATGTAAGGCACTACTTAAAAAGAAAACCCTCTATTTTATGAAGATAGCTCAACTTTAATAACAAATACAAATGGATGCCTAAGAAAGTTAGTGAGTTGTAGGTTTATTTCATGAATATAAATGCAGAAGTTCTCGGTGAAATTTTTGCTGGCAGTTAGATTCCAGAAATGTACCTAAAGCATCTTTGAATACAATAAGCTGTTAGAACAGATTAAAAGAGAAAAATCAACCGTCGATAGATGCTAAAGACGATGACATTCAGCAACCAAATCTGATGAAAATACTAGGGGTGTTTCCCTAAGCCAGTGACAGGTGTTTTTCTCTAATTCATCTTATCTTGCTCAGCATTCCCACTTCCCTTTAAGCACACCTTAATTCCACCAACTAGGTGGAAAGCATTTTGGATAATCCAGATCCAGCTTCACCTGCTCCTTGTCAGAAATCCATACTTGGAGCTCTGGGCTTCACCCAACAGTCCCCCTTCTCATCCTTAGTAAAGTTGTGCTGATAGCAAGAAGCAGTTTCCAGACTGCACGTGTGTATTGATCTCAACCTCCCCTTCCTCTCCCCCTCTCTTTTAGACCAAACTGTACAGGAGGTGCAGGGGCCCAATTTCCTCAGAGGTGGTTGGCAACATTTCATTCAGAAAGGAAATTTAGGGTCTGCAGTATTCAGGAATGTTAAGGTTTAGGGGAAATGAAGGGGTAGGATAGTGATAAAAGTTTTCTAATAAAGTTTCAGAACACCGGAGGGAATGAAATTTGACTGTATTCACATCTCTTGGCTTTGTTGCCAAAGGCTAGCCATCAGACCCCACATTTCCCAAAGATTCGAGGCTTCTAAAATTTTTCTTAAAATTCCAGAGCTCTCTAAAACTCTTCCATTTCTCAAAGTCTGAAGCGCCTTCAGCCCTTCTTTCTTTGCTTTGTAAATGGAGTTCATACTGTTCTGTCTGCCCCAGTGTCAGAAGCTGGTTCTTGGGGAGCTCCGGGAGTCTGGCAGCTGGCACCATGCTCTGCAGTATCCCTTTCTTAAGGGAAAAGGTTCAAACCAAAGAAGAGCCAGTTCCAGAGTTCATGGAAACTTGTCTTCTGGTGTGTCCATTGTGCCTAACATATGCTCATTATTAAAGAGTGAATGTTCTTGAGAACGTGGAATGTTGTATGTATGTATATGTAGCTGTACGTGGTTGCTTTCATCAGTTATTCACATCTAATTTATATGAGAGTTTTATCATTTCTGGGGAAGTATTTGATGTAATTGAGAAGTTGAGTGAAACAGTCTTGGTGTCTTGCGTGGAAGTACATCTTTCTTGTCGGTTCATGGTAAGTTAAATACATGTATACATCATGGTTATATGTGTGTGTTTTATTTTTACAGATTGACGGAACTTGACTGAAGATGTCTAAGGTAAGGAGAGACTGCTTTGTGTTCTCAAACTGTTTACAGTCAAAATTTATGATGCATTATTTTTAATAACCTATATAGTCGATTCATTAATGCAAGGTTGTCATGTAATTGTCCTAAAAAGCTTTGAGCTCCCCCCCTCCAAGATTTCCAGTTTTTTGTTTCTAAATACAACAGGAACAATCCATTTAGGCTCCTAGATCATTCCCAGAAGATTAATTCCATAATATTTTAAAATTCATGAGAGAGCCCCATGAAATTTATGGGGCTCTCCAACTTGATAAATTGGCTTATAT